CACACCAGGACCACTCACCTCTTTTTTGTTACCCTTCAGAGTGCAGTGAGCTGCAAGGTGTTGCATAAAGCAGCATCTCTGCTTCCAGGGGATCCTTTCTACCCAGCTCTGGAAGTCAGCCCAAAGGGAGCACAGGGCTGCTGACGTGGAAGAACGTGAAGGGAAAACAGGCAAGAACTCTGACCACGTTGCTACTAGCTCTTAGAAGACCTTGGAGATAGATCATGGAGAGCTTAATGATGCAAACATGCTTTGAAAGTTTGACTTCTGCTTGCACCTAACAGGTCCAGAAGAGCTCACTTCCAAAAAAAAAACAACAGGCTTCCAGTTGTGTTTTGGAGCCGTTCCAGAAAGCCACTTGGTGTTGCAGGTTCTCGTTGGGTGTCTTGGCCTTCTTGACCCACAGCTTGAAGCCGCTGCTGGAGCCAGCCTTGGAGCCAGCAGGGAGCTCCTGAACTTTGTCATGGTTAGGGCAAAGGCTGCAGGTGTTCAGCGCCCTGAATTTGAGAGCATCTCTCAAGCCACATACTAGTTTGTGAGACCAGAAAGAGCTGCCGGCTTATAATGAGTGCTGTGACTTAGGCGCACGGTTTGTAGAGGTTTTAAGGGTAGTGCATGAGTGCCAGGCTCCTGTTTGGTCACTGGGACAAACACGAGATCTGGAATGTTGGATGTCCTAAAAAGAGTACAGGGGGAGACAACCGGGAGGAGATGTGGGCTCTTCTTGGCCTTGTTTAGCCCCCAGCCCCTCTACACCCACAAAACCTTAGTTACAGCTGTGGGCTTCTGCGAGAACGTCACAATGCCTATAGTAAATCTTCGGGATATACTTAAAAGCAGAAAATACTGTGTTGTTTTCTTTTTTTTTTGTATACATAGGGCAGCTGCCAGCAGCAGCACCTGCTGGAGTCGAGGGTGCTGACAAGGCAGGGTCGTGTCCCGAGCAGCAGTCACAAGGGGAGCTGAGGGAGCCCGCCTGAAAACTCGGGGGGTTTCTGCTTCTTAGCAAGCCGAAACACAGCTCCCCGTCCCCAGTACTCCTCGCTGGTGAGGATGAGGGACTGAGGAAGGCTCACCCTGCCTGCAGCTTCTTCAGTTCTCGTGGGAGGAACTCTTGGAGGAGCTGGTGCCTCTGGAAAGAAAGCACCTGTTGGTACTGTGGGCATCTGAGCGTGATGCTAACCCACGCAACGCTGCCCCTTGCATCTGACAAATGTTTTACAACTTCGACTTCTTTGCAGGTTTTACTTAAATTTGGTGGAGGAGGCTGTGGCTGAGCAGAGAAACTAATTTGTTATTTCACTAACTGGAATAATTTACAATGGAAAGAAGCTTTTTTTAAGTAAAAGTTGTGTTTCTGATTACAGCTTCGGGTGTTTTTACCTCGCAGTCCACAAACACTCTTTTTAAACTTGATTCCTGACAAGTCGCTTTTCTCAATTCTCGCGTTCTTGGACTCCACCAGGGGAAAAGGGAAGGTCCTGCTAATATTGCTTGGCTGTTTCCTTCTGGAGGAAGGAGGGGAGAGTTGAGAAAAAGAGGAATGAAGTAAAATGAATTTACTCTTTGCACACGTGCTGAAAAGAATAGGCGTGTGTTCTTGGGAATATCTCATTTAAATCTCTGTGTATGTGTTTCGAGAGGATGCGTCCTCACTTAGAGGAGCCAACATCCCATTGCTGGACCTAATCCTGATGGGGCTGGCATCTGAGGGTTACGCGGGCTGCTCCCGGGCAGGGCTCTTCCCAGCGCGGGGAGGCCGAGGGAGCGGTCGAGAACTGCTCCGCTGCCTGGAAAGATTCAGTCATTTCCACCCAAAGCGAGGAAATAAAAAGCTCGGTCAGCCATTTCATCTGGAGATACCCCGCCCTCCTCCAACAAATATGAAAAAGGGAAATGTAGGCTTGGGCCCTCACATATCCCAGCAGTGATTTGCACCATTTCGGGCGATGCGATTGGGGTCGGGGCAGGCAAAATAGAAGTTACCTTTTATTTTTTTTTTAATTTCGGCAGAGAGAAGTTATAAGGTTGATGTTGCCCCTTGATATTTGATTTAACCCACTGACTGCCGGGAAGGAAGGAGTCTGTTTAGTTTACCTTTGTCCTAGATTCAGTTTTAATATCTCATGTTTTAAATGGGGGGGAGAGGGGGGGATCTTTATTCTTAATGATTCATGCCGCCTCAAAGCACAGTGGTTTCTACTTGTGTGCTGCCTTTCCCACTGGGGGATGCAAACAAAAGAACAATCAATTTCAGACTCCTCCTTCAGTTTCCAAGAGAACCTTAGCTGCTCAGGGATAGCTCTGAATTTTAAAAGCATTTTTTTCTTCCAAATTATGTATTGATTGCATAAATAAAATAGCAGCACCGTAATATGCATTTCAAACAAATGCACGGGGGGTGCTTGGTTGCTTTTAATGCTCCTCCTTTATTTTTATTTTATTTTTTTCCTCTCACAGCAGAAAACAAAAAGTGGATTCTGTTCCCATAAGCCCTCTTGCAAAAATCCGCACAAACATTTATTAGTCTAGACACAAAAATATTCTCAGCCGGCCTCAGCCTGACGATGGCAAAAGAAATAAAAATAATTAATAATAAAAAAAAAAAAAAAGAAAAGGCCAAGCTAATATTGTACTTGGCTGTGAAAAGGGAAGGGGGAATCATGCCCCAGGCTAGTGAAGCTGTAACATTTTGCTGGGGCTGCCTAGCAACAACAGATGCATCTCGTTCCCCTGGGCTTCCAGTCCTGCCTATTCTCTTCTGCTGAACTTGGCGCTCGCAACATTTCCCTGTGAGTACCACACCCCCGGGCTTCTCCTGGACGCTTTTGATTTGATTGAATGATGGCACCAGGCATGCTCCTCTTCACCAGGCCTGCTCTTCTGCCCCAGAAATCATGTAGCGAATTCATTGATTGGAAAAACGTGCAGAAATAGGTGGGATCTGGGTGACTGGTAGAAATCAAAAGGGTTTGAAATAGGCGATGTGACCGCAGCTTAAACCTGCAGGAAGGGAGCATCGACCGAAATGGTTTATCTGAATCTTCAGCTGCAACTTCTGTAAATACCCAGCTCCTTCTCCTCATTTGCTACCATGGCAGTTTGCAGACTTTTGCTGAGTTAAAAGGACAAATCATAGTTGTGCGCGTTTTGTTTGATCAGGCCTTTACCTCAGCGCTCACGTTCTCAGACTGCTGGGGTTTTATATTTTTGTCATTTTCTTAGAAAAATGGCGAAGATGATGCATATCCCGGCTTCCAGATGATTAGTTCCTGTTGCTCCCAATTTGTGTCAGGCTGCGTTTGGTTGAAATGAAAATGTAATTGCAAATTCCCCTCAACAGCACAACATGTCTGTGGTATTAATTAAAGCACTGTAAATACGTAGAATATCTGAGAATGCATTCCTTCAAGGCTGGCCGTGTTTTTTTAAACCTACAGAGGAGGCAAAATAACGGTATTTAGGCTTAGTAGATGAAATGTATTTGCTTCTGTGGTGGCAGATCCGTGTCTTGAGATTTTAAACCTGGTGTATCTCGTGCTCGAAGCCTTCAAAGGAGATGTTACATAGACAATAAACGTCCTGCTTTTCGGGGGAGGTCTCCTTAGGTCACTCAGAAAACGCCTTCAGTCTTCACTCACTGCAGCATTCAAAAGTGAATGCCTTCCTGTAAGGTTAGTCACCAATGGCCACTCATTCCATGCTTTCACTAAAAAAACCTTCGCAGCTCTTGAATCTGAATTTCCTGCCCCGCGTTTAGGTGAGCCCGGAGCGGCGTCAGGCATTGCTGGGCTCCGTCCGGCGGCGCTGGTGGAAGTGAAAGATGCCAAATGTGAAGTTTGACAGTGAGCTCGGGGGCTTGTGCTGGCCCGGTGGCTCTCTAAGCCCCCGTGTCTGAGCAGCGGGAGCATCCGAGCAGCACAGGACGCAGCTCAGCAAGAGGCTGGGGTCAGGGCACTGCTGCACAATAGCAATGCTTTGCTGCTGCAGAGTTAACCAGGTACACAGCGCTGTTTTACTACGATGGTGGAGACCTACGGAGAGTGTTTCTGCCCTCCTTTTAGCTGAAACATCCCCAGATTCTAGGGAAAAGGAATAGAAGGGACTTGCGGAGTAATGTTCTAGTGAAACCCAGCCTTCCTAAAGAAGCCTGCCTGAATAATTCCTGTGAATTAAAGACTTGTTCAGCTATTTCCTAACATAGAAACGGTGCTGACTGCTTCTTCAGAGTAACATAAGTTAGTGATGCTACTGAAATAGTTGTGGTTCAGACGTAGATCTGATTTCTCCTAAGCATGCTGAATTCGACAGCTGTTGATCCTCCAGAGGAGGCTTTGCAATTGAACACCTGTGGATAGGTAAGTTTCCCGCTGTTGTTCTCCCTTCCTCTTGTTTTTTTTTTTGTTTTTTTTTTTTTTTTTTTTTTTTTTATTTTTTTCTTAGTAGCCATAGGCTTAAGACTCTGAAGAAACGGGCTGCTTTTTTTTCATTTCCAACACTGGCTGTTCCTTTGAGCTCCGCCTTCTATTTTTGCAGTCAAGGATATGTGAATGTAAATTTGGGGAGAGGTAGAAAACTCTGTTTTCAAACTGGTGTTTTTTTTCGGCTATGTGGGGAGACCAAATAGGGTGGTTTTGAATCTTCTGGCTCTTATTCAGAGCAGCAGCATGTGGAGGGAGACAGATGCGTGTGGCTTTTTTAGTGCAATGGCTTCAGAAGCAAGAGGGAAAAAACACTTTCTCTGGGAGCTGGAGAAGGTGTCCTAATCGCAGGAGAGGTTTCTAAATGGCATATCTTTGCGAGTGTTCCTGTAGCCGGAGGTTTTTGTTTGTTTGTTTGCCTTTGGAAGGTTTTACTCGTTAATCTTCACAGTCCTTTCAGCAGAAGTGAGAAATGTGATTTTATTTTGTGCAGTGTCGCGGACCCCTCCGAAATCTACTGGGAAGGATGAATACCTCGCACAGTACAATTGTGATGAGACGGTGGAGACAAGAGAGAAACCAAGAAGATCAAAAGAACGTGACCTCATTTCAAAAGAAAACGTTTTGTACGGCAAAGAGACTTCTGAGCCTGGTGAGAAATTGCGGCAAACTTCCTCTCTCAAGTGTGACACTGAATGTAGCTCTAAAAAGCTTTCCTCCTCAGCTATTGCAGAGAGATGCCAAGGTAGAAAGGACAAGACTAAAAACACTGAGAAAGAGCATTACCAAAGCAAGAGGGAACATGCTCCTAGTGAAGAGAAGGAGAGTCAAAAAGCAGGTCCTTCCAGCGGCCAGGTTCAAAAGGCGTCACGCTGGAGCTCCGAGTTCGGCGGCGTTCCGAGGCCGTTGTGGCGGTTGTGGAGACGGCCCTGGCTGAGGTGGCTGCTGCTGTCGCTGCTGTCCCCTCTGTCCCCGCTGTTGCCGCTGTTCCCGGACCTTGGAGACCCCCGGCGGCTCCCTGTGACAGGCCCTGTGGCCCCGGGGAGCTGCCCGCCGCCTCGTCGGCCAGCCCGGCAGCAATCCTGCCAGCACAGAATAGCTCACTGCGTTTCAGGGTAAAGTGACGATTAATTTCTATTTCCTGGCCTGGGTGCTGCTTCCTTCTTTAAGGAAGCTTCAAGGTTAAAGGTTAAGCTCAGTTATGTCAGGGCCCAAGTCCGTTTCGTGAAGGGGCTCTTGTACGAAAGCTTAAGCTGGGATTGACTCTCTGCTAAGCGGAGGCCAAACGTGTACCTACTGAGAAGCAGGTCCTAAGTGATAACGTTTTCTAAAGAGACTGCTAAACACATCTGAACAGTGCTGCTGCAGAACTCTGAATGGGGGGATAGCAACTGTCTTAACTGATCTGGAATCTTGAGTTTACTTTTCAGTGGACAAGAGGTGTGTCTCTCAAGGCAAACAAAGAGAGGAGTAACACCCGATACTCATGTCAACATAATTTATGCTCAGAGCGTAGGTGTAGGAACAGCATCGGTATGTATATGGAACATCGGGAGAGGAAGCTCTGTCGGTATTTACAGTTTTTCTACTACCTTGTCAGAGAGACGTTATCTCCACATTAGAAATGGATGTATTTTGAAACAGTGGTGGTGGATCGGATTTCTTCTTTCTAGTGTTAATATTTGCTCTTGAATCGTACTTAATACCTGGTAACGCCTCAATCAGTTGTCAAAAATAAACTTAAAAATGTGTAAGGCTTATCTCATTGGTCAGTATAAAGATCAAGGCTTTTCCTTTTTCCTTTTTCCCTTTTCCTTTTTCCCTTTTCCTTTTTCCTTTTTCCTTTTCCTTTTTCCTTTTTCCTTTTTCCTTTTTCCTTTTTCCTTTTTCCTTTTTCCTTTTTTCCCCAGTATTGTTTTTCTTTTCTCCTTCTCACTACAGTCTTAATTTTGTTTCTTGTCCCTTAAGTGTGTTTTCAGTGTGTTGCTGAAACATTTTTCTCTTTCATCCGAAAAAGGAGCTGTCACTGGTGAAGATCGGAGCTTATCTGAAAATCCCTGAGCCCAGGAGCTGTCACCTTAGTCTTCCAGTCGGACAAGGACGACTTCATTTCTCGTGTAAATGCATTTTTCAGTTTGCGTATTGTTGTTTTTCAGGAACGGAAAGTGTTTATAGAATGGATTTAAAATCAATCTTAAATGTAAAATGTCAAGGGAAAAAAGTTCTAGTTACAACCTCTGCACACAATTTGCCAGCTGTGGGACTAGGAGTTTTCTTATTTACTGTGTTTTGTTTAACGTGCTGAAGTTTAATGGATAGCAATCAAGGCGTGCTAGAAATCTGAAAGCCTTTATGCTTGGTTCTCTCAAATCTGATATTTCAAACGAAACTTCATTTTGAGACCTCTTCAATAACAAGTCACTTCATTATGCTTTATTCTGTTAATCACTCACTGTTACATTGTTTAGTGTTGCTTATGTAGTGTAAACATCAGTAGTGTAGTTGTCTGAAAGCTTTTAGCTAAGATCATCAGGTATAACAAACTAGTTAGTTTAAACCCTCCATTAGTTAGTTTTCCAAGGTAACAATCCCTGTTTCTACAGTAAGACGTAACAAAACATGAAGTATAGAGTTCATCCTGTCATTATTCAGCTTCTGCCTACGACACACAATTATGCTTATTTAAAGCGGTATCACCTTGAAACCTATCAGCATTTTAAAAAGAACTTTGTAGCAGTTATTGGCTTTTGTCTGGAGGGCTGAGGTTTGTTTTGTTTTGTTTTACATTCAGCATTTCGTTTCTAGCTTACATTGCCCTGTTGTTTTGCATGAGGAAAACGTGCAACTTTACAAAGCAGAACGGAAGAGCTGCTTTTTAGTCTAACGTTCAGTTTTTTGTAGGAGTTTTAAATGTGATAGGAGTAAACACCAGAGTACTGCTGCCAAAGTTATATTCAAAACTCGTATTTCTTGGAGAAGCAGAAGAAGCCCAGGGAGAAATAAATTTGCAACGTGCTCTTCATGCTCTCCTTTCCCAAGATTTCTCTGAGATATAGCCCATCCTCTGTGGGTTTTGAGGTATATGGTTCCCAGGAGTGAGAAGGAGGGCCAAACATCTCTCTTCTTGGATCTCAACATGCCAGGGCTTTAGTGTACTGCCACTTACGGCTCCGCTTTTTCACCTGGAAAAAGCGACCACATGATGTAGACTGAGGAGCCCTCACAAATTAACTTGCTATCACAAAGTGACGCCCAGAAAAGGTGTATTTAAAAGATAGGCTCATTATAGAATAACACACACCCCCTCATGATTGGTGCAGTAGACAGTGAGGTAGAGGGCGATCCCTGGACAGACAGAAGAAAAGGAGCAGTGAGTTCTGGGTACCTTTGTGCACACGAAACAGAAAAACGCAGGCAGTGAAGTAATAGTGTTCCGTTACTAACGCCAGCAATAGATATTGCAACAATTATCTATTAGACATAGGTAATAATTAACAGATAATTGTGCAACTCTGGAAATCAATAAATAACTGATTCCCCTCAGAGAATGTCTTCTACATTTTTATATTAAAAAGACTCCAGAGTTGTAATGGATTAAAATCCTACGGAAGTGAAAGAAATGGCATCAGCCACTAGTTCTGCAGAAGCTAAAGTAATACCGATAGAGTTTAGATGGAAATTTTCACTTTGGTGTTTAGTTTTGGGGATTCTTTTTAATCATTCATACCAGCGATTTAGTTCTTAAGGCTGTTTCTTTGAGATTAAGTGACAGGACTTCTGCTACTCTTTTCTTCTTGGAATGCTTCTTGATATTCTTACGTCAACCAGACTTCTGTCTCTGTCGCAGATGTCAACAATGACCGTAGTTAAGAAGCCCAAATCTTCAAAGTCTAAAAAGCCCTCTTCAAGCGGTCTGGCAAATCCAGAAACCAAGTACTAAAATACTGATGTTCACGCCACCGCAAACTGGGGCCAGATACCGCCTGCAGAAGATTCAAGACCAAGCTCTCTGTTTCCCAAGGACGTGGAGGTGCTATTTACTGTAAGATCATCTGAAAAATCTAAGGCTTTTGCCCCCAAAGATCTAGTAAGTGTGGAGCTTTAT